TATTATCCTGAATCTAGCGGCCAAAGTGCAGATCCGGCTATCAAATGCGAATTGGGATACAGCTCCAACAGACAGCTTGCCGTGTTCACTCTCGCAGTGGTAACGATTCTGGTAATATATGGGACTTTGTGCTGTCTTATTTTAAAAGAGTATACTAACGAGGAATTTTGTTGATAAAAAAACTGTGATAGGAATGACATTAAAAGACTACTTTGCGGGGACTGGTATATTTTGCCCACGTTTTCAGGCCATTTTTGTTGGTTGTGGATATATTCAAAATTTATTGCATAACTTGGAGAACTTTCATGATTTATACTAAATATTTTGTAGTTGTGAGAAATCTTGAAACACATTTTCCAATGTTTAATTTTGACTGTGTGTCTTAATCTATTTTGATTTATTTCTGACTTTGACAATGACATTTCAAAATAAATTACATGTTGTGATTGCCACCTTTTATCCTCTACAAGATGGTTTAGTCAAATTTTCAATTCAACTTTCGACGTCCATCACCAACTTTTTTTTTCCATATGGACACTGTATTGGAATTTTGTACATTTAAATGTAGCTTTCAGACCTAAATTCAGTAATGTTTTTCATTAGTTGGCCATGCATTTGTTGTTCGACCGAAAATAATAAAGAAAAAAGGTATGGTCACTTTATGCTCAGGAAACATATTATGAGAAGGGAAATAAACCGAGCAGTAAACAATGTTCAGAGCAAAGTCAGGCTTTGTCTACAAAATAACCGACCTTTTGAACATTTTCTGTGATTTAACTCTTATTTATTTTTGTTTAGAATTATTGTTACTACCATCAATAAAATTTTCATTTTGTGCTCAGGATTCACCATACTTTATTTCCTTATAATTTTTGTTCCAAAAACAAATTCACGGCCATCTAAGGAAATACACCGCCGGCATTTAGGACTGAAAAATCTATTTAAATGTACAAAATTCCAAGATAGTGATGGAAGTCGAAAGAAGAAACCTCGAATTGAAAATTTGTCTACGCCATCTTGTAGAGAAGAAAAAGTGGCAATAACAACATGCAATTTATTTTGAAATCCCTCTCAAATAAAATTAGGAAAAAATGGTATATAAAACAAATGACTATCTGATAATTTCAAGGCCTAATTCTGTTTTTTGAAATAACTAATATTCGCCAATGTCAATGTATGACATATTACATTTTTGGAATCAGAATTGAAGACTCTATCCACCTGTGCAAAAATCCGTCCTTAAGAAAAAATCAAGATCCCTATTTATACGACCTCGTATCTCTTACCGTTTCAGAGATCCCAGAGGTAAGGAACAAATTTGAAACACTTCCTCTTCTTTGTTTGCCTTTTACTTCTTTTCTTTCTCTTATTTCTTATATTTGGGTTTCCTGGATTACTTCTGAAAATACTTGTTGCCTGATGCTGCATTTTAAGAGCTAAAGTGCACCAAACCACAATGACAATCATCTACAGTTTTGTCTAATCCTAGTAAGCTATATAGAACTGCAAGGTTTTTTTTTCTTTCATTTGACTTGAACAAACCACAGGATATGCTTCAGGAATTACGTTCTAACAAACTATATTTGATATCTAAACGCATTAAAGATTTCAATTTATTTTAGGCTTTTCGTCACGTTTATCAGTGATCAAATGCCTTGTTGACGTGATGGCGTTTCTTGTCCGATAAGAGAGCGAAATTAGGCGTGAGAGAGTGTGTCGATGACGTGCGTACAAAGGACGCAATTACGCGCTGTGCCACCCACGCAAGCTACCCCTCTGTATCCCCCCCTCATTTCATCCCCTGGCGCTCGACTCTATTGTCGCGTTGTCACACCCACAAACAACGAACGGACAATAACACACGCAGACAAATAATTGACGATGGTTTTCGCTCGGTGCGGTGTGTGTGCCACCAATGCCCTATGGCTCACCCCTACGAAATTTGACGCGTGACAGTCGCTGGTGCGGTGTTACGGAAGCAAGAGCGTTGCCTAAGGGATTTTTTAGCGGCATATTTGATTCTATTGTATACAATTTTACTTATCAGGCCTACTGGCGGGGAAGCATTGTAACCGCGAAATTTTTCGAAAATGTTTTTGTCTGTCCGCTAATCTTATAACCGCCTATAACTTGAGAACTACCTCTCGGAATTTTTACATAATGTTACTACTATGCCAAGGACGCAAAAGCTTTAAAGTTTTTGAAAATTAGTCCAGTGGCGGCAAAGAAAAAGGCCAAAGTAATAAAAATCGCTTAAACTTCGTTTTTTACATTTCAGAGGATCCTGATCATTTATGGAAAAAAAATTGGAGGTAAAAAAATTTCGCGGACGGTTTATCTCAATTTTTTGATATTACTACATTTATACGCTCCCAACCTAGGTAATTCACACATAGATTTCCTCGTACATCAGCACTTAAAAATATTCTCAGCAGACAGATCGCATACCTACTGGCCGCGGCTGCTGCTCCCGGCGGCGTGCAGTCGACATTGGTGAGTGTTCTGGTACTGCACGTATTTCTGCCACGCTGCAGCATAGTGTTCCCTAAGCTCTGACTGCACTGCCTCGTCTGACCGGCACGGGTATTACGTATCTTGAAAAGTGACATTATGTCGATTTTTTTTACGTTGCATTGGTTTTTTGTGACATGTAGGTTTTTCTACAAGATGTTAACTTAGCACTAGCTGTCGGACACTTGTTATGAACTCGTTTTGTTGTACGTGTTGCCTAAACGTCATGATGCTTTAATTATCAATGTTTGGCTCTGATGTGATGTAAAATCTGCTTCAGAGATGGCATTACTGGAGGTCTAAGCTGTAAGTTGTATACTATAGCTAGAAGGAAACAGCAGTGCTTAGGTGCATAGCGAGGATTTGTGTGCAAATAATGTGTTGATGATAATTCCATTGGGTTCTTGTGTAATCCACTTTTTCTTATTCATTCTGGAAATTACATATGCAAATTTACTGAATTTTAAAAATGAGAGAGATAAGAAAGGAAAATTAATACTAACAGTTGAGAAAATATATGTAACGTAAAAAAAACAATGAAAATTCCTCCTTTTCTGTTCGTTTGTATGGTATACCATAGGAGGCGATATAACCATATTTTTCTCGGTGTCACGTGAATATTATAACAGGCCGAATCTCATTGAAATTGCGGAAAACTATATAACACGAAATAAAATAAGTGTGTTAGCGCGGTAAGCTGCTAATGCATCGACTCTAAGGCTTGCGGGTTCGAATATCCGCCTCGGAAGTGGATATATTACACATCAGATCGGTGCAAGATCAACAAAGAGCTGGTTGATAAATAATAAATAATCAGTTGTTGGTACACTGGGGTCGGCAAAAAGGGGTCAAAGCTGGTTTAGTTGCCAGGCTTTGCCTCACCACCACTAGTACTACAACTAATTTTAGGTACTTAATGATTGAAATCGTTACTATTCGTCATTTGTTTGTCTGGGCGGTCCGTAGGACCTTTGGCCATTAATCACTGTATAATGTATGTTAGTCGAATCTGTCAGTCCTGGTTGCCCAGAAACCAGACAAAGTCAAGGAAAAAAGAAAAGGAAAGAGAGGAAAAAAGGAGAAGAGCAAAGAAAAACAGATGGGCTTAGTTTAAGAGTAAACACCTAGGCTTTTTGACTTGGTACACGGATTAATTTTGAGGTGAACTAAACAAATTTTTGATGCGGTTGTGTAATTTTGAGTTTACTAAAAATTCGCGCTAACCTTTGATTACAGTGCGAGCCGTGGCCTTGAATGTTTACGAACTTGCTCCACTGTGTAGTCCACTGAGTCACGCAACAGAGGGTTGCTGTGCGATTCCGCCTGACATAATCCCTCAAGTAAGGAATTTCAAGGTCTCTGTGTAGTGTCTCGTTTGAGACATACCATGGAGCGTTGCAAATTGTCCGCAAAGTTCTGCTTTGCAGTACTTGAAGACTTTGCATGTGTGTCTTGCCAAGAAAACACCAAGCCGCACATGCATAAGTAATGGGATTGAAATCGTTCTAATGATTATTGGAAACCCGTCAAAATAGCACTTTTTAGTGCACTTGACATGAGTTATTTACAGTTCTGTCGTTAAAGTCGTAGTTTTGGATATATTTTTAAAAAAAGCGAGTGTTCGCAGATGATTTTGGTGTTAGACAATTTTAAGATGTACTACTTCATACATAATTTGCAAAGAGCACAAGCTTAATGAAGGTAGATGTTTTCACTTGTATTATTGTTATTATGTTAATAATAAATCAAAAGTATGCACTGAAACTACACAATTGTTACGACAAACAATGCAGTGTAAATATAGAGGATTGGCTCCTAATTTATTCGAATTCGTTGGGACTGTCAGCGAATTGGAAAAGTTTGTTTTTGTTTTTCAAACTATCTACGAGGTAATTTGTTTCGTGATCCGTGATGCTGTGGTGGTAACACATATTTACCTAGGAAATCTGCTGACACTCCACCCATGCTTCCATTGCCGGGAGGCGCAAGCCACCGCGGTGTTTCTGGCAGTTGCACGTGTGCGCTACGCGAATAAATCGAAGATTTTGATACGATTATACCGATATAACAGTCACAATTAATTTATACTTGAAGTGTGCAATGGACAGATCATAAGCGGTGCGACCCGCTCAGCATTTCAGCAAATTGGCAGATTGGTGGTTTTGATGTCCCGAGCTTTGTTTGTTTGTTTGTTTGTGTGGCACAATCCATTATCAACTTGTAGGTAACTCATTATTTCATTGGTATATTAGGTTTTCTAAAGGGTGGCAGTTTTAGTGATCAAAAAATCTTTCAAAGCAGTCGCGAACTCATATCTATAAAACTTGTTTCAAGGGGATGAAAAAAAATCTAAAATTCAGTCAGTCTTCATCGCAATGTGAATAATCATACAATAGCAGAAAAGAAACCTACGTTACACCAGACGAATAATGTGAAGAAAGAGCTTATATAACATTTATACCGATATTTCATTATTTTCTCTATTGCAGGATACCAGGGCCGGGGCCACCAAACATCCTACAACAACCAAGGATACCAGGCACAATCACATTCCTCTTACGGGCAGTATAACAACCAGGTAAATTAGCTAAATAATCTTACTTTCAATAATACTTCGAAGTTGAGTCATTTATTTTAACAGTGAGTAGATCTGATCAAAAGAAATGTTTTTTTCCTTTACCATTTTTCTGGTAAAATTAAAGTAACAAAGTTTGGAAGTTTGAGTACCGCCCTGTCTCAATAATAATATTATGTGCTCGTGTTTGGCGACAACGGATATAATTCGCCTTATCGGTTCATCGCATCGGAAACAAAAAAGCGAAAGAATTTGGAACGATGTTTTTACAATTATTACATTCAGTTGTATACAGTCAGTGTCAGTCGGTAGTGGATAGTGGTGTATGTTGCGTGGCTCAAACGAAATAAAAAATGGCACATGTTTATGCGGATCGGTTTCCCAATCGAGTGCAACCAACCCCTCGTGCCTTTGTTAATGTAGTACAACGGGTTCGTGAATCATTTGACTTAAGACCTCACATATGGACGGCATGCCGGTGCTCCAAGACCTCACGATCAAATAAAGGTCCGCACTGAAATACTTGTCGGGATGATACTTTATAAAACAAGGTTAAATTTTTTTTTTATTTTTACACATATTTTGGTTTATCTTCCTTCTACAATCATTATCTGAAAATTAATGACTCAACTTCAAAGTATCAACGTGTTGTATTGTAAACTTAAATTTAACTCAATGATACTGAAATTACGAAAAATTGATGAATGGCAGCGCACCTTATCGTGACCTTTAGATGTTGCTATCGCATACAATATGACAATAAAAAATGAAAATTTGTTTGAGGAGCGTATAAACATTTGTGATGTGTGAATAATTTGTAGAATTGGTTATCATTAAAAAAATCCACGGTATTTTATCACAGATCAAATTATGCCCGAAATTGCCAAGAAGCAACAGTTTTTCGGACTACCATAACAACACTAATATGCTTGTATCTAGAAAAGAATAAGATAAAAATATCTTTATTGGTCCAATCAGCCACAACAGAAGAAAAATCGCAAAGCTAACTCATAATAACGTTACTCTGTAGTGCAACAACAATCCCTACAACCTACAAGCCCAGTACCACTCCAACAACTATGCTGGTGGTTCGAACAACTATAGTAGTGCCTTCAACAATTATGGCGGTGGGAGTAGCACAGCTGGAAGAGGAGGTTATGGCGGTTATCAAAATCAAAGGAATGACAGAGATCAAGGTCAACGCGGAAGACCTCCAGGGCCATATAGGGACAGATATGAAGTGAACAGGTATAGTGCCAGGAGATAATGCGGTAAAATAAAGGTAGAAAAACAGTGTTGCTTTGGGGAAAATATTCTAGTGTTTTAAAAATATCACAAGGGCTTGATATAATTTCTTTAATGACTGGATACTCTACCAGGCATTTGAAGACATGTAGGTGGTCTTTCAACACTAAATTATTTTTCTCGGAGCTGTTTGTAAGAATCTGCTTAATTTTTATGACCTGTATTTGTATGACTAGAGACGACTCATGGAATGTACAAAGACTTTATTAGATTTTTGTGTTTTGGGGATACCATCTTAGAATAATAAACCATCTATGCAAATCATTCCTTTTAATGATTATGTAGAATTCGTTTTAATTTTCACGAATTCGTTATATGAATCTATTATTTTGATTGGATTAGAACTAACGTTTTTACGGGATACAATTATGATATTTCAAGAACTTTCAGTAAATTAGATAGGTGTATGTTAAACATGTTCAGTATTCAGTTAAAAACAAAGGTTGACAATTATCATGAAAGCTACTGCGAAGGCTACCTTTCTTGATTTCCCTACATGTGTATGGCTTATTTCTTAAAAGAGCCCATGATCTATTGTTTTGTTCTTATGTTGAACTTTTCATGCTATAATAGTTGCTTCGACGATAGCTCACATTTCATTTTAAAAAAAGTGTTCATAAAATAGCAATATCATTTGCGAATTCAGACGAAAACGAAGCTTGTAAATTGAATGTCTCTTTTAGGTAATAAGTCAATGTGAATTGTGGTTATACTATGAATATTTTATTGACCCATCTTTCTGGAATTATTATGGATACACACTCGAAACACAAATAGTAGCTGATGCTATACAGTCCAAACAGCTAGGTCCCAAATTGCAATAGAAAATGTCATCTACTTCGACCTCATTGATTTAAATAACATAACGTGGAAATTATGAAAAAATATATATATATATATGTATATAACAAAAGATAATGTATTGGTATAATTTAGTGTTGATAAAATGCTTATTCATTTTTGATTAATGTAACATCTGAAACGTATCCTGTCAAAAATGTTATGTACTGAACCATTGTGAAAAATAGCAAATGTATGTGGTTTCATTGGCCATACAAATATTGTATAAGTTTGTATTTATAGTTTTTTTTTGTTTCAACATAACGCCCGAATTTACTATTTTTTAAACATCAGTTCTTGCTATTAAAGTTAGGTACATTGGAAGTGTCATTGTGTATTAGTACCTTGTTGGTATAATTTTTTACTCAATGTACTTTTTATTTTTATTTCAAAATATAAAATGTGGAATCTAACAAAATATTTTCATTACATCTCTTCTATCAAGCACACAATGTGTTAGGTTTTGTATATTGTGTGTAACCCTTCAAGAATGCAGAGAATTAATGTCGTGAAAGACAAAAGAGAAATGCGGAAATTTTCATCAGGCGAAAGTCACGTTCACGTTTCAACGTCCCGCTCTGTGGAAATAAAAGAGAAGCAGGATCCACGTGAAATATGTCATCTCGTGATGAAGGAACAGTACCGCACTTAGGATTAAATCAAGTTCTCTATGAAATATTGTATGTAGATTTCAGCGTAATAGTAGGCTAGGACAACATGAATATTAGTCAGAAATTTTCTTATTTTTTCGACTCTCTGTTTTCGCACACTCTGTTGAGTACATTAACGCTCCATCTACCGACCTTATTAATGATTTTAGTAGTGTTTTATACGCCAGCTACCACGACGACCCAGGGCCTGAACACCCATGAAGTACCGAGGGGCTACAGGGGGATACAGGGAAAGGGGGGGACGCCATACGGACTCTAGCGAGGGAACACGCATGCATCCAACATGCACGCATTCTTTCCCCGACTACCAAATCTGCCGGGGGTACCTCCGCGTACGACAGTCAGAGACCGTCTACCACCAACGGACAATCACAACATCCATATCCAAGAGGAAAGTTTCTCTTGGGACGGGATTCGAACGCGCGCAGCGCCCGGCGACTAACCTACCGATCACTGTCAAAATGAGGTTCTATCACCGCCAACTTGAGTCCTATGCTTTTGGTAGGAATGCTGCTGCTATCAACGGCTACTGTGACATTTAGGGATAGTCGATTTACTTCTACTGTTGTTGGTAATTATATTCAATATAGAAAACTCTCCAAAAATTATTTAACCTATGTTTGGGGCAAATGTTAATTTTTTTGATTCTGTTGTTTGACGTATAAAGTTCGTGGGGTCACACTATGACGCAGGCAGTCGGGCACACGGGTGACGTAGATTTCGATTGTTTACAATTATGTACACACTTCCCCTTTGCCTAAATTGGTGTACGGACTGGTACATCATGATTATCGAATCACCGGACATTAAATTAAATTGTCAGGTGGTGAGGCTTCAAGTTCAGTAGTGATACAAGAAAACATTCAGAATCTTATAAAAAAGAATGGGAATAGGAGTTTCAACGATGGTTGCAAAAGAATTTGAAGAGCCACCAGAGCATCATACAAGTTGTAATAGAAAACTTGAGAATTTTTCAGGAACAGATGCCCTCTAAAAAAAACTTGCGTTGTGTATGTGCGCGCTATACAAAAATATACTTTTTCCATAGAGGGCGCTACGTGACGCAAGCACCAGGTCCCTGGATCCATTGGTTATCTTGTGAAGACCCCGATTTCTGCCTTCTAGCGAATTTCATCGACACTGCCGATTTCGTCTTTTTCGTTCCGGCAACACTGGACAAAATATTTAAGGTCCGTTCCTGTCTGGTTCGTGCCGTATCACCTTTGCCGGCAACTCGGAAGAGCAGGAACCGTCATGCCCGAGGGCGGACGGGCAACTCTCCCTGCTGTGAAGGACGCATACGTGACCCTACAAAGCCCGTCTCGTTCCGGCGGGCGCGGGCTGCCCTGCGATTTAATGATGTCTTGTTTTAATTGCTGACAAATTGGCAATTGCCTACCGGCGACCGCCCCCGCTTTGCTCTTGCTGCCTACCCTTCGGCTGTTGCCGTAATTGGCTGCTTGTGAATGCGGCAAGGAATTGTGTTGGTTTTGCTTCCGGCGACAAACAGTTAGATGTTACTTTTGGATGTTTGGGAATGCACCATCGCTCTGACATTATGCTAAACATTGAAAACAATGGAGAGTGGGAATATAAGAGTAACGGCAACGGCGGATCCAACATTTGTGTCAGGGGGGTCACATGATTCGTGTTCAGGAGGATATTCATCTTCGATGGTGATTCCAATATTTATAATTAACCGTTCTGATGCTTTTGAGTAAAACAGCCTTATTATGTTGGTTCAGTTTTATAAATTATGGAACCGTTTCACCCATTTTGAAAATTTGGTAATTGTCATGACAGACCCGTCACCCGCGACCTGAAAATCCACGATATTTTTCTTAAAAACGATTGATATTAACGAAAATATACATGAATATAGTTCTTGAAACAACAGCAGGTAGCATTACATTGATGTGGATGGAACAATCAACACTATCCAGGCGTATTCCAATTTCCAAAAATATTATTTTATGTCATTATTATACAGAGGTGTAAAAAATAACAATAGATTGCACTTATGGCTAGTCCGTCTCTGGCGAACTAAATGACTCAATAGTTTTCTTTGAATTATATCGTCGCTTAAGTTCTAAAGGAGCGTATCTCAAAACTAACATATTTTTAAAAGAGCAAAATCTTTGGATTCCCTATCAAATGGCACGCATATCTAGAGGCGCCATTTTTGAGTTACGCAATGTTAAAACTTAAGCGAAGATATGTGAAAATTATTTAAGAAAAACCTACTTCCAATGACGTCTCCTTCAGGAGCCCGTTTATCCAGAATCAAAAGATGTTTCGCAAATCGAGACAAACAAATACAATCGTTTCAGAATAAGTTACAAATAAAAAGTGCCAAAAATATGAGGTAGTTTATGTTTAACTCTTACGGTTTGATAACTACGCTAGTTTTGTTCGTCAAAAATGATTTTTATCAAATTTTCGTAGCGCTAAAATCGCGCGTGAAATGTTTTTTCTTATACTTCTGTTCAAATGTCTGAATTTTCAATCAACTACCTTAATCACAGCTCACATTTTCCAAAAATACAGTGCTACCAATCCGAAAAATGCAGAATCACTATTTTATTTATATTTGCGTCAAGCTGAACGTACAGGCAATCAGACTTACGCAACCCTCTTATTTCCACGCCATCATCGATGCGCTTATAAACTGGTTAGGTGCCAGGTGTGGTGATTTTTTACCCGTTTGTATCCACTACATATTTGCAAAAAGTGTTTATTTAGATTGGGTAACTATAACGTGGTAGCTATCGGTTGTCCGTGAATTCCGTATTTTGAGTTATGGTTAGCTAACCCATAATAAATTTGGCAACGCTGCTTGTCTGATTTATCTAGTTTTGTACGGTTCGTGATGCTCAGAGTTTGTGTTTCGAGTCACGAAAAACAGTGCATTAGAAAGCTTTGCAATCTGCGGTATTTACGGAGCATACAGGAAAAAACGAATTTTTCGTCATTTAACCGACCTCGTATCTCTTACTATTCCCGATGTCCCAATGGTGAGACTGGAATTTACACCCGGTATGCTCCAGTTTTAGCGAGACTAAATTTTTCAGGGAAGGTCGAAAGTATCTTCCCTACTGACGAAAATTTTCAATAATGAAATATTATGTTTTTTGGATCTTATATGAAATCACGCAAAACCATGTCAATTATTTCCGTCGGTCTGGCTGTCGGCTGTCCGTAAATCTTATAAAGTTGTTTAAATTCGGTCCAGTGATGGCGAAGCTAGGGGAAAAACACAAATGAAATAACAACCGTCCAAACTTCGTTTTATGATATTTCAGTGGCACCTGAAAAAAATTTGTAGGAGTTGAAAATCGGTAGTTGAGGGTTGTACGGAGGGAGAGTATATATCATTTTTTGGCAGCAGTATTTATAGACGCGACACACGGTTGCGTTACCAAATGGATGGGGACTATAATCGTTTATGAACAACGTTACATGGGAACTCCAGCGTCAACCTACTTGACGCCATTTCTTGCAAATATCTTGCTGATGGACGGATAATATCAAAAGTATTGTGGAAAAAATTGCGTTCTACCATCTCGTTATCCTATTTATCTTCCACCACTTCGAACACATTATACACCTCACAACAATAAAAAACTCTTCTACATCCATCGCAAAAACGCTGAAAAGCCCTCCGACATACCAGCGTGCTGCAATTAAGTGTCATTAGACGCAATCATGTGCGCATTGTGTCTCGCTGGTTGACTGCATGTTGAACCTACTATTAAAGAGCGTGTTCCATTCATACGACGAACCATACGGCTACCTTAGAACGGGAATGATTCCTTTTAGCTTGTCTGTGCTAATGCTGCTTTTATCCTGTAATTGCACTTCCTGTGTTACTTTCGGAAGAGATATGTGCTTTCAGAATTTGATGATATTGTCCATTACCTATTTAAGTGTAAGTAGTTATACCTATATTACAACATTAATGTGCTTTTTTTACGCCGAAGCACTCGCGCAGGCCAGGGCACCGCGGCTGCTATGAGGAGCTTAAAGAAATTTAGTTAATATGATTTTTGAACTAAGATTAGTAGAACGGGGAAAGCCTCCTCGTGTAGATAGTTCCACAATCTCGATACCATTGGGACAAAGGAGCGGTCGTATCGGCCAGTTCCAGATGTTCGAAGTTTGACACGGTTAGGATGGGAGGCTGTAGTCAGGCGGGTCTGCCTGGCAGCCACAGACGCAAAGCCCATTGGCGTAGCGGTGGTAGAGAGCTAGATCGTCGACGGCCTACCGTTGAGAAAGAGTCCCGAAACTGTCCGTTAGAGAAGAGTGATCGAGCAGTCGGAAAGCACATAACACCATGTTTTTCGTCAAATAACCTCAGCAGTCGACACCGTGGGAAAAAACACAATGCTTCCTATCTTGATTCCTCTCACACATTGTCTTTCTGGGATATGAGGTCTTACCAAAATAATTGAGTCTTCGACCAGAATTTTACTATAACGAAAAATTTGTCGAAACCTCATCTCAGACAAGTCGAAAGGATTTTCATGAGTCCTTAGGTATTATCGTTTTCGAAGAAGCGTGATAATTGACCTGCCTTCTATGTATATACGAGTATAGTATTTCCCATACAATTGGAAGCATGGTACTTTTATCAAAAGTAAACAACCCTCTCATTTGAAAAATGATTAATAAAGACATAACCTATCAAATAGCAGATCGAATAAATTTGATAGAGTCGAGTCGATAATTCGTCGATTATCCTGAAAGTATTCTTACTCGATTGTCGACGTCGA